TCCCCGCCAAGGAGCTTCTCTTGCCGGCTACCTTCTCTGGCCAATTAATACCCTTTTTAGGCCGATTTCTACTGTTTATTCACCCCGCAAAAGAAGTCTGGTGGAGACTACTACATGTACTAAGTACAATGTAGTCCAGACACCCTGTGTGTATAGGGCTCCTAATACATTGTACATACAAAAATGGAACTCAGAGAGTCAGACAGAGCCAAGGATGCCATGGCAATTGGTTTAACATTCCAGCTGATCATATCAAGTCTTTGCACAAACATTTTACTTTTCAGTCGCCCTATGTTTGCCATCATTATGCCAAATGGGGAACATCTTTGAACTCCCAAGTCTAAACATGCCAGCATGTCGGCAGAACGTATTGCAGTAGTTTGAGTTAATATTGTTGATATCATTGTTTAGATATTTAGATATTTGTGCAATTTTTGGCTATTTTTATTATTTCAGTATCAAATTTCATCTGGTCATTTGCATGCTCATTGCAGCATTTCTATTGCATTGCTATATTTTCTTTTCCTGCAACCTCCTTGATTTTGGCATGTAACAAAATAGGTACATACTACTGTAAGTCTCTTTAGATTCGCGGGGCCTAAAGTTCGCGGTTTCGGGAAAATGGACAATCCGCGGTATTTTTAGATTCGCGATTTCCCCTTGGCTATTCAAAAAAGAAATTGTAAAGTGCATATTTAAAAATAAGAAAAGTTTGTGTCCCGGCATTTATCTCCTAAAATGCGGCGTAAAAATGTGTTTCGTGCTCCGCGCGAGGCTGCCTGCATGAGCCTGCATGCTCTGTCAGTATGCAAATCTTGCATCACATGTCCGCGCTACGCGTCTCTGATTGGTTGTTGCGTCAGTGCCGGCGGTAAAGCTCGATCGATCTGACGCGCGTGTAAACAATTTTCTTTGCTCGGAAATAAGCGCTAAAATGTTATTTTCCACGACTACACATCGGTACTCAAGTGAAGAAATGCATAATCAAAAGAATCTCTAGGGAAAATATATATTCCTAAGCAAATTTATGCTGTCTTCGGCGAGATTTTGTCGTTCAAAGAAAAAAACCGAACCCAGAAGTATGCAAAGGTCGCCTTCGGTAGGCTCACGCTAGCGTTTCTATCAAGCAAAATAAGAAAAGAAGAAAAAAAACGCAAAAGAGAACCAAATAACATTTCCCAGATACCATCAGTTATATTTTTCATCAAAATATTTGTAGATTTGCCCGATGTGCCCCGCAATTTTCGGGCGCCGGGCGCGCATGGCCAGCGCTAGCAAGATTTTTGTCGGGCGGTACGCGGCCAGTGCCACAGTGGCACAGTATCGCGATTCGGTGTCTCATAACATTATTTTTGACATCAGTATGAGTATGACTTAAATAATTTTGATACAAACTGTACGTACATTTGCTTAGAATAAAGTTGATTTGGAGTGATTTGTGGATCGCGTGTGTTATCAGTTGTGTTAAATCGGTTAAACTTGAGGACCGTCGTGAACGCATGTAACATTTACATTTACGCAAAACACATTCGCAGGGAAATAGATTCGCGGTACAAAGGTCCCCGCGAATTCCGCGAATATAAATATACCGCAGAAATTTGTAGACTTACAGTAGTATACTTAACTTGCACCTAGTGAAAATTGAATCTACATTGGGATTTCCATACTCGTGGTGTGTGTTTGTGCTTTGCCGG